GCTTATTCCCAAAGGACTGCACAGGCAGTGCCCCCTACGGTACTTGGTCTTGTAAAGTGGGCGGTAACTGGTCCCCTCCCCCACCAACCTTCTTTGTTTTGAGGAGATCCTCTTTTGGGGTCTCATCACAGCCAGCTGGGATACTGAGTTCCCTTCAGACAAGTAGACAGCATTAGTTGTATTTGTTTGGTCAATTTCTTGTGCTGACCCCCCCCCCTTCTTGTTTTGGTGGGTGCTGTCAGTCTGGCATCTTCCTCAACCAGGGGTGAGGTTTTTTTGGCAGCTATTTAGTAATTAGTAATCTTGCTTGCCATTTTAGTGGTCACCTCTGTAACTTTATAGTGCTTGACTGCATGTTAAATTCATAATCATTTGTGGTTATATCTGCTTAATTTATTTCATATATAGTTGGATTGTTTATAAATATCGGGAAATAGTGATAATAAATATTTGAAAACATAGTATAAATGTATTCAATAAAGTATATTGGTTAAGAAAATAATAATAATATAAATAAATAAACTTTAATCTAGCTGGTTTAGTTTTTTGAGTTTGGCATTTGTTGAGTCTGCTCTGTCTGTATTTAATGGGCTGAGTGTATACTGGGTTTTGTGCAACTTAATTTGTGCTATCAGTACATTTAGTCTCTGCCTCCAGCTATGCCACCAAAAAGGGTAGCCAGAGTTGAGAAGGACACATCTGTACATCAGCCTAAGATGACCAAGCGCCCTGCAGCCCAGGTGGGAGGGACTTGTGTCATTCCTGTAGTAGCACACTCATGCATCTGCAAGTGCCCCTTATGGCACCGGGGGTGCATCTAGATGGGCAGGGATTTCAGGCAGCATCTCCAGGGCTAACAGGCCATGGGCTGGGGCTCCCCCAGTGCAACCAACACGTATGGCCCCTGTGGATAATACTGCTCTCTTATAGGGCATTTCACAAACACTAGTTCAGTTGTTGGAGCAGATGGAACAGCTTGGAACTCACACAGCCCCACTAGAGCAGCCTGCACACCCCACCCCCAGGAATAGATGCAGACCACATTTACCAGCTGAGTCCCAATCTTCCAGTGCCTCCAGTGAGGATTGCACTGGAAGCCCTGCCTGTGTGGAGAAGCACCATGCCAAGCGTCAGAGGATGTGTAAGACGACTTGATCCTGGGATGTGCTAGACAGTAGCGCATCTTATGCTGAGTCATCCTCAGATGACGATTCTAAGTCCCCTCTACAATAGATAGTAACTACTGGAGGGCATTTATCTCGGGGCTGCCTTCATGGTTGCACACGCGTAGGGTAAGGGGTGAGCCCAGTCCCATCAGTGTGTAGGGATCCAAGCCAGCCCATGTGGCCCTTCACCCACCCCAGTATAGATTTGTAGGATCTGCCTGGCATTCACTTGCCACGTAAACTGTGCAAAAGGGTCCTAGATGGCTATTATGTGGACATTTTCCCTTTTAAACCAAAAAGTGATGCTGGAAAAGTGGGTCCTAGGCAGGAAAAAAAAGGAGCATCAAAAGGAAGCACAGAACATACCTTCCAAAACAAGGCTTATGGGCAGTGTTCCCTCTAAGCTGGGTTAGTGTGAGCTAGCCCACAGTTTTTTAGCCTCCAGCTCACACGTTTTTGTCTTAGCTCAGGAAGGATGGCTCCAGAGCAAACTAATTTATGCAGTAGCCTAATCACTTGCTCACAACTTTAATGCCAGTAGCTCACAGAGTGGAATTTTTGCTCACAAGACTCCACAGCTTAGAGGGAGCATTGCGTCTACATGAGCTTAGTTTCTGCGGCCTACCCAGAGTGGGGCTGGCACCTTGCCAACCATATGGGGAATGTCCTTAAAGCACAGTCTATAGCTGGTGATGTCCCTGCTATTGATTACGACAAAGCCTCTTGACAGAGGGCCTCTCACAATGAGCTTTCAAGGTGGGACCTCCTTAACAGTAAGATTTGGCTAGTGACTGTGGGCCCTCACATAAAGGCTAAGGGTGACCCAGGAAAGGAAAAATTAACATTCAGACGGGATGGTTCCCGGTGGGTATGCTGGGAATACAATCAAGGCAGGTGTCACCGTCCACACTGTAAGTTTGTGCACCTTCGCGATGCATGTTTTGGTCCCTACTCGAAGCCTTTAGGAGGGTTGGCGTTCCCAACCCTCCTAAAGCTCCAGCAGTAAAAAGGAAGGAGGGTTGGGTGCTGCCTGAATCTCAGCCTCAACTTCTGCAAAACGGCCCTAGTTCTAACCTGATTTTCAATATGTGTCTCGCAAAGACTGCTATGCATTTCAAGGCACTTCTCTCCCCCCCTCAGTAGGTACTCCAATAAGGCTTCCACCTCATACCTTCTTTTAGGCTGTAGCAAAGACTTTCACATTCCATTTACAGGCCCATGCATTGCAACAGACTGTAGTAACCTTAAATCTACCTGGGAGCTTCCAGGTGTTGTCACTAAGAAAATAGCCAAAGAATGTAAGGCAGGCAGAATGGTGGGCCCATTCACAGCACCACTGTTTCACAACCTAAGGGTCTCACCACTAACCACTCTACCCAAGAATTGTACCCTAGGTGAATTTCAATTAACTCATCACCTGTCTTGTCCAAAAGGAGCTTCAGTTAATAATGACATTGCTCCTGATCTTTGCTCCATCTGGTATGCTTCTCTGGATCACGCAGTCAGCATAATATGGTACTGTGGCCCTGGCTCCTTCTTTGCAAAACATAATATACAATCTGCATTTTATACTGCCTGTTCATCCTGGGGATTTTTGCCTACTGGGTTCAAATTTAGCAGAAACTGGTACATGGACAAGGCCATGCTTATGGGTTGCTCTGTTGCTTGCACAGCATTTGAAACATTTAGCACCTTCCTTAGCAGCACATGGGGTGCCCTCATGTCATATATTACCTAGACAATAATTTAATTTGCAGGCCCTGAAGGCACATTGGCTTGTGGTAGGATTTATTTAAGAACAAATGCATCCTTTTTGGTGTGACAACCAGGCCGTAGTCAGAATCGTTAACCAGAAACATCACACTGAGTGGGTCATGTGGCTTGTATGCAAATTTGTTTTGACCTGCTTGGAGTCTAACATTTCTTTCTCAGCACAATACATTGCAGGCATCAGTAATGGCATTGCAGACACCTTGTCTCACCTTACAGGAGGAAAGGTTTCGAATTCTTGCCCCCAGTACAAACCAACAATTGGATGTCTCCCTGCAGGACCTGTGGATGCTTGGCAGTGATCAACTGCCCAGGGAGTCTTGGGGTCTCTTGCCCCCTATACCTGTCGTACTTATAAATGTGCTGTCATTGCTCTCCTATCCTTTGTGGTGTCTGTTGGGTTTTCTAACCCTTTGCCAGTCCCTGTGGTTTTGATCCTGCAATATTTGGCATGCTGAAGGAGCGTGGGCTCACCCCTACGACCATGAATATTTATGTGTCAGCCATTTCATTTTACAGGAAGGCCCTGGGGTTTAGCAACCCCTATGGCTCTTTTCTCACCTGATGCACCATTGAGGGCTGATTATCCCTGCAAGAACCCGATGAGTATAAGCCCATTAATATACCTATGTTAGAAAAATTCATGCAGCAGCTCCCTGAGATATGTTCTTCAGCCTTCAAAGCCACCCTTTTTTGGGCTTTTCACAGTAGTGAGCTGTTGGCCACATCACACAGCAATACCAGCAGTTGAGCCCTTGCCCTTCGGGACATCTCACTGTGTGACTCAGAGGTGTATATTCAGTTGTGTAGGTCCAAGACGGACCAGCATGGCCATGGAACCCACATCTTGCTCTATTCTACTCCCAGTGGCCAGTCCTGCCTTGTTCACTACCCCTCTAAATACCTCTTTATCCAGCCTAACACTTCGGGGACTTTTCTTTTGCATGCCAACAACTCCTGCTTGTTGCGTTTTCAGTTTGTTTGTGTAGTGGTTTGTAGTAGTGGTTAAGAGTTTGGTGTAGTGGTTAAGACTCCAGACTCTAATCTGGAGAACCAGGTTAGACACTTCCTAGTCTAGAAATTCCTGAAACAGTATTTGCATTAAAATGTTTCAAGTAATGCTTGAAAATGTGCTGCAAATAACAGAGTAAGACACACATCTTACAAAATGGCAGGCTCTAGTGATTATTAATAGGCTTGCCTTTTAAACATCTAAAAGATTCAAGCCTAATATAATTTTGTGCAGCCTTAATTTTGTGCAAACGGCACTGTCTAAAGGTTGGAGATCCCTCCTTCCCCCTCTGCCCTTATGGCAGCCCTGCATATTCCTGATGCATCCCATCAACGCTCTTCTTCAAAATTGCCAGTAATGAGTTTATTTTCCAGCTGAATGAATGGGAATGGCAGATATATCAGAAAAAGATGGAGGAGGGGGTGCAAGAAGAATGAACATTCAGTTAATCTCTTGGGCTCTCTAATCGACAGAAGTACAATAATTACTCCTGGGTATACACTGATAAAGCTAAGAGGCCCTTGAATTTTTGACAGGCTATAAGCGGAGTTGTCACAATACACAGAGAAAGTAGTAAGATCTCTGACAAAGAAACCCTATTTGAGTCACTTGTATTCTCTCATTCAAAGCTGCCAAACACTCAAGTTTCAGAGACAGGAATCATCTTTGGCCTTCATGTAAACAATTACTCTTTGTGCTACCTCCTCCTACGCTCCAGTTTTCAAACTAAAAAAAAGGGATGAAACTTTTACCATTACTAAAACACACACTTCCTAGCCTAGAAATTCCTGAAACAGTATTTGCATAAGAATGTTTCAAGTAATGCTTGAAAATGTGCTGCAAATAACAGAGTAAGACACACATCTTACAAAATGGCAGGCTCTAGTGATTATTAATAGGCTTGCCTTTTAAACATCTAAAAGATTCAAGCCTAATATAAGTTTCTTCTTGTAATGACCATCTAGCTATATGTAACCCAGTTGCTTTCATTCATTTTAATAACTTCTAACCATCTGTGTCCCCCCCCACCTATAAAGATTCCAGTTACTCACATGCTCTTTCATTTCTTTCGCTACTGTTTCTGACATCATGACACAACAGATGAGTGTTACCAGGATGAAGAACAGGGCGTACATAAAGCGAGTACTGGTTGACTGCTTTATCTTGGGGCAGCATTTGCAGCAGAGGGAACATGCACCAGTGCCACAGCAACAGGCCAACTAGGGAAAAATCAAAACAATAAAAGGTCAACATTATACTATTTTCAAAACTAGTATCAGTTGGAACATTATAATCAGTTTCACCAAAGGATTTTGGTTGCCTAGAAGGATACAGACACACACACACACACACATATCCCCCCAATTTAAAATGTGGCAGTGACGAGGTGCTGTTTGTGCAACAAACAGGTCACACAACCCTGTGTGCATGGAACTACTCAGGCAACGCTTTTACAGACTGTAAACAGAATCACAATGCAATTCTGTGCAGAGTTAATCCAATATAAATCTACTGAAATCAAGGGACTTAGACTCAAGAAATTCTGCACAGGATTGCACTGTTAACATTCCATAATTAGGCTACAATAAAGTAGGACCATAACAACACTGCACCACCTTTTCAACCAAGTTCCAGGAGAGCAGTGTTTGTAGCAGGGGTGAAAAGTCATATACGCTCTATTAGTTATTTCAGAGTAAACTTATCACTGAGGGATGAATTTCTGCAAACACCTTATTGCATCATATACATGCAGCAGCTGCTCTAAGGATTTCACAAAGCCACATGGAAAGCGGAAAAAAAATTAAATTAATCATAATGATTTCACATCCATATGTTGAGGCATGGTAAGAAATGCCTTGCGAGATCATCAGACCAAGGGCATCTAGTCCAGCATTATGTCTCCAGTGGTGGCCAATCCTATGCACCTGAGAAGTTCATAAGCAAGGCAGGAGGGAGACAGCCACCCCTTGTTTTGCATCCAGCAGCTGTTAACCAGAGATAATCAGTAACTGGAAGGAAGGACTTCCTTGGAGGAAACAGGCACTCGGTAGAGGAAAACAGATGAAAGTAGGCTTCAGGGCAGCACTTGCCTATTGTACTATAGTGGCAATTATGAACAGCTATAGTTCAAAAAAGCAAAACAAAAACAGAAATCAGGATTCATTGCTGATTAAAGACACTTCTGAAGTTCTCACAGATATAAATTTCTTGCATGATGTACTAAGAAAAAAAGCCATTGGATTAATTTTTATCTTTTCATCACAACAAGCATCTAGTACGATTCATTTACTTAATACCAATTAACTTACTCTTCCATTTGACAGTACTCAGCCAAAACCTCTAATTCCAACTGTTTCCACCAAATAAACAGAAACAGAGAAGCTTGCCCTTGCGGTTAACAATCTACTAACATACAGCAACTGACTGAATGGTCCTACTGAACCATTCTTAATTAGCCACACACTTTTGTGATGAATGAAATGAGGAAGAGTTAAATCTTCTCTACAAAAGAGCTCCGTGTTGTTAAAAGACATGAATCAAGGGACCTCAAAAATGCCCCTGCCGTTAAGTGCTAGCACACAGTTTACATTCTGCCTCACTGGGTGCACAAGTTACAAGGGGTAATACAAAATTCGACTCAAAAGAGTGTTGCTTTGTTTAATGAACATGCATTTTAAAAGGCAGTACCAGAACTTATTGTCTCTTGCATATGTTACTTTCTATTAAATAAGTCTACATTATTCCAGTTTAACAAATACCATTTAGGGGGGAAATCCATCTTTTTAAAACTTTCACGTCCTGCTCCTTCCAAAGATAGCTCGAGTAAGACAAACTACAATTGGAAAGACAGTAGCACTGGAACATACCTGAATTTCAAGAGCCAGCGACAGAAACATTTTAAATGCCCCCCCCCACACACGATTGCCCTGACCTGAATGGCCCAGGCAAGCCCAATCTTGTCAAATCTCAGAAGCTAAGCATGGTCAGCCCTGAGGAGTACTTGGATGGGAAATTACCAAGGAGGACAAAAGTGGCTGTACAGCGGCAGACAACGGCAAACCATTTCTGAACGTCTCTTGCCTTGAAAACCGCAGGAGGGGTCACTATAATTGACCTGTGAGCTGATGGCACTTTACATACACACATCTATGATTACAAAGAACATTTTAATGGTTGAAAAACCACTGAAACGTAGTTTTAGGTTAGTTCACAATTCAAAGCAAAGTTCAAAGATCTGCTCTTGAATATATTCAATACTAAGAAAAATAAGCAAGAGCATTTGTTTATATTACTTTTACCGCTGACAAGTACTATCACTATGGATGGCACCCTACATCTCCCTTTGGCTGTGAGGAGTCCTTGGTCAGAACACACCTATGGCCAAACTGAACATGGCAGCATCCATGGGTTGGATCTGTGGACAACACGGCCATTTTAAAGTGATTTCAAAATGCTGCAAGTGCCCAATCCTCACGGGGCTCACAGTGTGTAGGGTTGCCAGCCTCCAGGTGGGACCTGGAAATGTCCCACTATTACAACTGATCTTCATGTGAAAGAAATCAGTTGCCCTGGAGAAAATGGCTGCTTTGGAGGGTGGGCTCTGTGGCATTATACCCCACTGACGTCCCTTGTATAACAAGCACAAGTCTGCACAGTATTATGTTTTTCATAGCTCATGACCATTAATGGTGTATTTATTCAAGTTACAGTTACGTATGCATAACTTTTTTTAAAGGAGGGTCATCTTCCATTAAGGAAAACACAGTACATTGACCAAATATACAGATTCCCCAACCACATGTAATTTACAATGCTTGGAGGTGGGGAGAAAGATGGAACTTCTGCTGAAAAACTGGGCAATGGATCCCTTTACACACTTAGCCCCTATTTTGACATATTTATCCCTTTGGTGTCCTTTCCCCTCCTTGATTAAATCAAAACAACTGTTGACCTTATAACCTTAGCTTATTTTGCATAACTTAAAACATCTTAATCACGTTACATGTAAATTTGCTGTTCAGCCTATCAATAAGTTTGAACTCTACCTTCCATTCCAGTGTATTTGAAAAAGTGTGTATGCACACAAAAGCTCATACCATGAAAAAGGTATGTTGGTCCCCACTAAGTTGGTCCCCACTTAGTTTGATTAAATCTGCTTTTGCAGTTTCTCTGTTTTCCCTTAAAGTTGTACAGTTCAAAGCATTTAAATTTGGAGTAAGTACCTGACGGGGAATTACGGTCTCCCCCATACTTGCAGCAGAGGCCTCATTTTCTAGAGAAGAAACTTGCAGTGAACTAGAGGGATTCAAGTCTTTCAGAGACTCCAATATGCTAAATGGATTTTTAGAAGGCGGAATAACCTCCCACAAAGCTCCATCATTTTAAAAAATCATCAATAAAAAGCTGCTTTGGAGATTTGTAGTAGGATGTTACCAGAGAGTCAGAGTTTGAGCTATTTCTGTTCCTTTCCTTACTTTTAGTCATTTCAACATAACTGAGGCAGCATACACTGGCAAAAAACTGTGGAAGATAATTTCCCTGTAATCGGAGACTTCCGAAGAGATTACAGTTGCAGCTGCACGATTTGCAGTAGCTTCTTAAAGTCTTATCTATATTAAAATTATCTAACTAAACCAAAGGGTTACCCTATTCAACTATTTAGTGGTAACCCTGTGAGATAAAACAATTCCAAAAGATAAGAAAAAAGCCCTAGTGCCTCGGAGCTCCGTGAAAAGTGTCCTAGCAGAACACCGTCCCAACAATGTTGAATGTTCTAGCTAATCAAAGAAATACTCCTGTAATGAGTCTTAAGAGTTCCAGTGAAAAAATAATTTGTATGCTGCCTTTCATTTGTTGTGAAATACTAGAGATCTTTATTAAACTTTTGCTATTAAGTTCAGCATTCAAAACCTCACTGTTTATTGTGATGAGTAGGTTTAAGACAGTTACACAAAATGAATTCAGATCCTCCAGTTCATGAAGATACATCAGATAAAATACCAGAATACTCAGAATGCAATGGCCATTTGCTAAATTCTGCAGAAGATTAGGGGTTTGATCTTGTAACTCCAGTTCCATGATGTTGAATCCTATGACCCTTTTCCCCCCTGCAAAGTCTTCCTTCATGCCCTAGAATCTTGTTTAAACAAGCCCAATACACATGCAATCCCACTATGTGGCAGCATAACAACTGCTCAGGTTAAGGGAGTGGTATATTTAATCAGACTAACAGCCCTACAAAGGGTTCACAATGTAACACAGCTAGACATATATTGGACACAGTTATTGAAATGAGGAGCATTTGGTATGCTAACAGCTAGAGCTAACAACAGTGCAAAGTCAGATGGTCTGTTGCAAAAATACGAATAAATTTGTGTTGTAATCCATAATTTGAGCATGGTTTTTATTACCAAACTTTCTCCCCCTCTATGACCTCTTTTTAAAGGCACTGCATGGCTGTTTTGGAGATCATTATTCAAAAGGTCACCATAAGTCATAAGTGACTTAACGGTACATAATATACGTATGCATTCACACGGATTCATTTAATATTTCAAATTAAAAATTAAAAAAACAACAGTTCATGATAGATATATTTGGTGCACTAACACATAGCAGTTCATGGTTCTCAAAGTTCATGCAATGCTGCATTGCTTAAACTGAGCTAAGGACAACTGCAATCAGAAAGAGAAGTGCAGTGATAAATCACTTATCTGGGGATACTTTCATATTTGGCTTCACTACTTTCCTTAGTACAAAACAGCCTCCACTCTAGTTTGTGTCTGTGTGTTTGTGTGTGTGCGTGTGTGTGTGTGTGTGTGTGTGAGAGAGAGAGAGAGAGAGAGACAGAGACAGAAGATCCCTCACTCACTATAATTGGTACAGAAGACATTCTGATACACAAAACCAGAAAGGCTGCAGACCAGGGAAGAAAGTCACACCCAGTAGTCTCATTCTTTTACTGTGTAAACACAGAAACTAGGATTTTATTTAAAGGGCTTCTCTATAGCTCCTTTAACAGCAAGAGATCACATTTTAGCTGAAATTGAACTAACTCTCCCAGAATCCCTGGACATGCTGACAGAGAACAAAAGTAGGTTTTGCTGGTTAAACCAAGATTGTTGTTTCTTTTATTCTTTGGTTTAGAAAAGCTTAATCCTTAGGCAGGTGCAGGAATCATGCTGTAAAGGATCCCCTCCCACATGCACACACACACACA